GTATGTGAACACCCATCAATAAACTGTTTAAATACAATCTTACCATATTTCTGTGATAGTAGCTTGGTCAACTGTGCAACTTGGCGTCTGTAGGGATTTGTTTCGAAGAACATACACTGCTCTGTTGAGTTGACAGTACTGTGATTCAGTTGCAGCTCTGTATATGTGTCCAAACAGCTGTCTGCATGTGAATATTGATGTAGTGAAACAAAACAACTGTACTGTAGACAATGACAAAAACATATATTTTGATATCTAGTGCCAGCTAGTGGACACCCATGGTACTGACCTGATGGTCTCTTTACAGTGAGAGAGTGATCTATTGCAGACAGAAAAAGCTCTGATTTGAAATTCTCACAAGACTGGAACCATCCGGTTATATTCACTTTTGATATTACAGGAGGAAGGTGAATCTCAACCTGTGAAGATGTAAAATATCACTATGCTTAGTTCAGGGGAATAGAATAAAGCAATAAGCCCCAAGAAGCCGTGGTTTACAGTGAATTTATAACAGCTAAGGGGCGTTGTTAGGCACAGCGCGAAGCGGAGCTAACCCCCTTAGCTGTTATAAATTCACTGCAAACCACGGCTTCACGGGGATTATTGCTTTTATTTCACAGAATAAAACAGAGCAAATAAAGTGTAAACTAAAATAAAGTGTAAATAAAGTGTAAAATAAAAACAGTATTCTTCCACCAAACAATGTAGTTCCTCAGAAACAGTTGTGGTTCCAACAAAGTGGTTGCCGAGCAACACAGAAGTAAACAAAGGTGTGTGTTTGTAGTGTAATTTACAACAGCTTCGAACGTGGCTCAACCAATCAGAATCAAGGACCGGAACTATCCATTTTATTAATATAAATATATCATATATTTAAAAAAAAATTCCATTATACCCTACCTTGTCAGCTGGGAGCCCTTGTATACGATAGTATGTAGCTGGTCCATAATATCCTTCAATGCCTCGTATGAATTTACCTCCACCAATCACAAAATATCCATGTGTGTCATCCAACATGACATTCTTGCCAAATCTGCCCAAAACACCAGATCTTTCTTAATGTAACAATTGTGAAATTTAAGTTTTACTGCTTTAAATGAAGATTCTTACACATGCTCAGCTGTGCTAACAAATTTCTGCTGCCCTTCCATACATGCAATAGAAACTTTCGCCTACAGGAGAGGGAAATATGAGAATATGAGTTTCAAATATGACTGGATCAGTTCGCACTAGAATAGTGAATCAAACTACAGTAGAGAAGTGTATGAATGGCATTGTTACTGAGCCACAAATTATATGGGCAAAAGTCTGTGCTGCAAAATATTAAATCTCATTTGCCAACAATATTAGCAAGGCCATCTGTGTGTGCAAATATAATATTTTTCAGACATTTTGTTAAGGCCCACTTTAAACCAAAGAAATACTTACAGAAATGCATACAGAAATATGTTTTCATTTCAACATGTTCTGGAATAAATGCTACATTGTATTTGAAAAAAAAAATGCCATGGCTGTATGCTTTTACAGATGCAGTTGCATAAGATTTTATTTTTTACAACAATAATCATTAATAAAAAAAAAATTGTAAATGCACCTTTATTTGCTAACTTGTACTATTTTCATGCAAAACCACATTATAAATCCACTGGAGCCTATGGGATAACAATAAGCTATTTCTGAAACACCCAATTTGAGAACCAAACCTGTGGCCTTTGTGCACCAACCTATCATGCAATACTATGAGATCATTACACATGTATGCATCCATAAACTTACCACACGTCCCAGAATCTCCAGGCTGATACGACACCACTGATGAAGAGGAACCTTAAAAGATGAAAGGAACGCTGAGGAGTGCCCAGCATCTCCATGCACCTGGACGTGAATCTTACCTGAACGAATCAGACAAAAGTCAATTTTGTAACTGATCAAAAACAGAAATTAGTGGTTCTGAGTGGTTCACAGCCCTACCAGTGTCAGTGAGGAACATTGTAGGGGTGACATAATTATTTTCAGAATCAATGTGGAGCAGAAGTCCACATAAATGGTTACTGCAAGGTTTCTCCACCAAAACCCAAAGTGAAACAGCAAACCTAAAAAGTCCAGACCAACAATCATGATGTTATTCCACGAATTAAATGATAATCTTAAACCTTGTTGCCAAATAAGTAGAATTAGAGAAGCTCTCACCAGGGATAATAGATGGATTTGATTCTTAGCCCTTCCAAAACTTCATTTATGAATGGCTGGAGGGTTTTAATGATGCCATAACGTTCACCAGTAGAAGCATACATTGTGGAAAGAAGAGATGCCACCTCTTAAAAGAAAAGAGTGTGAAAACTTGTGGAGAATGTATTACACGCACTTTTTTATGATTAAACTTGCAAACAAAAACACTTAAAAAGGGAATCATTGTGCCCTTTACGTATGTTACATATAATATAATACCATTTTCCTCCAAGCACTGTGGCATGTCATCGCTTCTGACTCTCCGGAGCAAATCTGTGTCCCATTTGGCACAAAGCTGGTGTTGTTTGAAGGGTCGACTCAGTGGTGAGTGAATATCAAGGGGAACCGTCACACTGGTTCCAAGAAACCTGCCAGGTCCGGTGGACTCATCCGGTCCGATCCAAGCACGCAATAAACAGCTGAGAACCCAGTCAGAACCGCGTATTATCCAGTCAGGTCGGTACACAAGCCAGTCAGGAAAACTCACGGTCACCACTCGGGTTCTGGTATGTCCTGGCTCGCAGGTCCAGTATTTGTGGAAAACGACTGAGGTAGATCCAGTATCGAAAGAAACCAGAACCTGAACATGCACTACGGACGACTGAAAACAGCTGTACTTTACGCGTAAGGGACAGTTGGAGACGGGCTCGCCAGGTGCGTCAAGAAAAGCCACATTACCTGTGCTGCTGGATCGGCTCAGACAGCCAGTTAAAGACATCTGGTTATAAACAAATAAACAACAGATACATTTAGTTATGGATGTAAACTCTAGGTCTACCTCTAATTTGCATCTGAAATACTTACAGAAATAATGACATGCAAACACAAGCGGAAAAAACTCTTTGGAAGATCTCCCATCATTCCTCTGCGAAACCCAACAATCACCAGAAGATTTGGATTAAACAAAGCAACTTGTATCTGATTAAAATTAAGCTTTTTGCTGCGTTCATGGTGCACAGTTGCGCATATTGTTGCGGTATTTGGCTGGTTACGCCATATCCGCATCAAGGACCGTTGCAGTGCAGGATTTCATGTGATCAAACGCCAAAGCAGGTACCCGGAATAACATCCTGTTTGAGCTGCAGGTGTAAACGTTTAAGCAAACAGAACAGAGGAGTTCCACCCTCTAACGTAAACTTAGCATAGCTCATGAATAATTACTCTCAGTTTAAGTGCTGTATAAGATTCTGGACAACCATATTTTGCTTTAGAATATAGTACGGCTTTCCTAATTCCTACATGTGTAATAGGTTAATAAGCACCCAATGCAGTATTAAAATTATGCTATAACAGTGCCCTGTGCAGATATGCAAAGGCACGTCTTGAATTTCATAATTTAGGAATTAGCTCCGTTTCAAGTTATTTGAACTAAATTAGCCACACCCAAAAGAAGTTGAATTGGAATAACAGGAAGTGGCATTCTGGGTAATGAAGTGTTTCCACCCTTGTCCGATTCATACAAGTACATATTCATATGGGATGCCGATCTATCCATTTGTCTGAGACAGACAGACAGACAGACAGAAAGAAAGAAGAATGGATGGCCAGAAATATAGAACAGTAGATAGAATGATAGATATGACGATAGAAAAAAAGATAGATCAATATATCGACAGATAGCTAGAACGCATGCTACCTATAGATAGAACAGTAGAATGATAGATAGATATATTAATATATTAAAAGAACGATGGAACAATGTATCGACAGCATGATAGCTAGCTAGTTAGCTAAATAAATAGAACGAATGAAGGAACAGGTAGATAGATCCAAATATTTTGGGGCCTCTGTATTATGTGTAACCCCTCTCTCCCGGGTCCTCACCGCCACACCTCGTTCTCACTCCGAGTGGGTCTCGAATCCGGGTCTCCGGCATGGGAGGCGGACGCACTAACAGGGAGGCTAAAGACTGCAGCCACTAGCGTCAGTCGCTAGTGCGTCTCTTGATATCAGGGGAGTGAGGTTTACCTGCACAGCACCTACCGCTGGCCTCCATTACACTCACCCCCCAAACCTCACTCCCATCCGGGTCACGGCACCAATGCAACCCCTCTCTCCCGGGTCCTCACCGCCACACCTCGACATCACTCCGAGTGGGTCTCGAACCCGGGTTTCCGGCATGGGAAGCGGACGCACCAACAAGGAGGCTAACGATTGCAGCCACTAGCGTCAATCGCTAGTGCGTCTCTAGAGATCAGGGGAGTGAGGTTTACCTGCACAGCACCTACCGCTGGCCTCCGTTACATATGTTACTGGGAAAAAAACAATATGGAATAATGGAAATCTCACTCGTTTTAAACCCTTTTTTATTGCTTTCATGCAGGAGTGCCATAAAATTTGAAGACTACAGTTTTGAGCATTACAGAAGATGCAAAATTATCATTTTTACTTTTTCTCCACCTCTTTCTGTACAGTATAGGCATAAATAGCGCAAACGGAGAAGTGAGCAGGAATATCTAAAGGGCAACAGAGTCTAAAACAGTTCGTCTCTCCCCTGTCCGTGTTTGAGAACATGCATCAACACGGTGAAGTGCAGTTTACTGGACCGGACTAATGCGCACACACTGACATACTCACTGACAAGAGCTGCTTCGTGCAAAAGAGGCACAGATGAAACAAATACATCTGCACAGTTGTATATCTGTTAAAGACTGATTGGTTGATATGCATTTGGATGTGGTCTTGTACCATCTTTCACAAAAGAAATGACAGATGTTTCGTGCAGCGCTGCTTTGGTTTGCCTCCAGGTTCGTGGATACGTTGGACCTTCAATGCCTGTGGGTAGAAAATAATAAAATGCATAGCGACATCCCTCACGAAGCCTTTTGATTCTTAACCCCCCTCTCTTTTCAGAAAGTGTGCTTGTATTTTTCAGTGCACTGGGATAAAAAGACATTTATCTTAGTGAGCATCATGTAAACCACAAGAAGAATAGAGACTGGTCTCCACTTCCTCAGAAAATGCACAGTGGTAAAATCCGTCTGCCCCAACATATGATCATTTAAAGGCAAGTCACTCCATTATAACAGCAATTGTGTGTGGTCTAGCTTTAAAATTATATAAAAGAGCACCTGAAATCAGGATTCGACTTCTTGTGGGTCAAAAAAAAATTATATGACTTAATTCAGCAGCAACAAAATATATCCAAGCTCTCTTTGAAACATGTCAGAAGTAAATGTAGACACCCACCCTTCCACCACAATTTGGAAAATCTGCACCTTTATAGCAAACCTATTTAAGATGAGATCTCAGATCAGTGATCTAACAAAACCGAAATATAACCTTTGGGAAGTGTATACATTTTCTGGAAGGTGGCTTTAGTTTGGCACTTTGAATACAAGATGGCAAGATCTGCTGAAGCTGTAATAACTCTGTAATTTAAACAAAGTGAAGTATGCATTCACCTTACATTTTCTATTTTTGTTGTTGTTTTTTAAAAAAAGACATGCTTTCTTGGGAACTTGGATTTTGGATGATGTCATTAGAAACAGTCAGCAGGGGCATGGTTAAGAGTAAATGCTCAAAAAACATTAATGTGCACATTCATGAACCATCTTGTATTTTCTAAATGATTTGGAATGATCAACAATGATCAAATATTCTATTTGTGTAATTCTTCAACATACTAGAAATCCCTGATGCCTTGGAGATACGTTCAGTGTCATGGTTTGTGTAAACGTTTTAGTGCGTATTCCAGCATATTCTAAATGTTCTTTACAAAACCGACACATCCACATTTAGAAATAGTGCAACATAATTGAAGGGAGTTTTACACTGATAGTTCAGCCCTTTTACAGTTTCTCTGACCATCGACAAACACTTATCGAAGAGTACCATTAAACGTTCAGCTGACAATTCATTTTAACTTGAAAGACAAAGGAGTGTGCTTATAGAAACAAAAGAACCAGGCTATTTCGCGTTTTAAGCAAAGGGGAACAAGAACCAAGCAAACATCTAGGAGCATTCAAAGTTCAATCAAACAAAGGCAAAGACATGCAAACTGATACAGATTATACAAGGAAAGAAAAGTCCATCAGAGGGAAGATTCCTTTGAAAGTCTGGCACTGTCTCCTGCTGAATAAATAATGCGTTACATTCCCCAAAAAAGGTCCATCCCGTTCCCACTGGTGTATCGTTCCCATCCACCCCCAAAATCATGCTTGTTCCTAAGTGTTCCTCTGAAAAAGCAAACATTTCTATAAAGACCTCAGAAAGGTGTTTGGTTGTGCCGTAACTTCTAAACATTTATATCAACAACACGACAAAAAGAAAAGGGGAAAACAAAACTGTTGTCCAGTTGTCTTATTTCTTCTGTTTTTTGAAGATCTTGAAGGTATGTTTCTTGCGACTGGCAGCAGAGTCAGTGTCTTCACCTGTGGAGCCACTGTCCTCCTCTAGGGGGCTCTTTTTTGAGGACATCTGGGGTATGCGGTTTCCAGCCTTCCCCTCAGTCAGTCCAGTGGGGGACGGCGTATCAGGTTCAGTGGAGTTTGGGCTTAAGGAGCGTGAGGATTCCGACATGGACATCACTGCCTGGGAGCCGTGGATCTCGCTCATACTGGCAGATTTCTCTATGCCATACACCTTCTTCATTAATATGGGACTATCAGGACCTCCATCGGGAGATGCGCCCCCATCATGAACTCTGTTGCCTCCATTGTGTGCGTGGGAGTGGGCTCCCTCTTCAGAGCGTGAATGGGGGCCATGCAGGAGTGAAGTGGGCTTCACAGGGAAACCTTTGGAACTGTAGGATAGGCGTAGCTGCTCGCCAGTCTGGGATATACACAAGGAAGAATCGGAGTCGGAGCGATTCAAGTCCCTGTGAATGAAAATGGTGAAATTAGCATCAATAAATGAGTGAGATATCAGACTAGTCCTAAATAACCAAGACAACTTGATGGTTATATTTAAGGTAACACTGCATTTACTGCTACCTGAATTCACCAGTGAGTTGTTAAACCTCTTAGAGTTAAGCCAGCAACATTTCCAACCACAAAAGTTGTCTAAACTGAAGCACAACATGCCAAGGCTCAACTACCCAGTGCTAGAAAAGTGCAAGCTAACAGAGCAGGGGTGTCCAAGTCTGCTCCTGCTTCATGCAGATGCACTGGTGCATGTTTGAGCTAAACTCTACAGGAAGGTGGTCCTCCAGGAATGTGATTGGACAGCTCTAACATATGGCGCTTTTCCACTGCGTGGTACGACTCGGCTCGGTACGGCTCAGTACGGCACGGCATGGTTCGGCTCGGCACAAAAAGTACCAGGTACCAGGTACTGTACCCAGTGGAAAACCCCCAATAGAGAGACACAACATCAAGGGTGTCCAGTCCTGTTCCTGGAAGGCCACTGTCCTGCAGAGTTTACTACCAATCCCCAATAAACACACATGAACAAGCTAATCAAGGTCTTCAGCACTATTAGAAACTTCCAGGCAGGTGTGTTGGGATACGTTCGAACTAACTAAGACTCTTCAAGTCCAAGTCCAAATCCAGTCCCAATTTAAAGAAGAGCCCTGAGCTAGACTCTGCAGGATGTTGACCACCCCCTGCACTAGGTCATTTCAGGCATGCAGGTGTGAGAACTGGTTTAAAGTTAAGGGATAAATGGTGCTAGAACAGATTAAGCAACAAGGTAGAACGTCGCAGGAAGTTACACTGCCAAGTTGCAAGCTGCAGTATCATTAACTGTAGTGAGTATGGCCAATTATAGTAACAAACCCCACAAGTAGTGGTTCACCAGAAAGTGTGAAATGTGTGGTAAAAAAGTCCTGTTAAATGTTTTGGACGAAGTCCCAGGATCATGCCAGCTGAGAAGCACAAAACAAGCACAACAGAATGAAGTGATACCCATAGCTGCCGCAACGGCGGGGGCGCGCTGGGCTGGCATCATAGGGGAGGTCTGGGATGGTGTCCATGGGCTGGAAATGTGAAGAGTGATAGTGGGATGCATGAGGGGCGGTAGTGACGGAAGAGGAGTGGGGAGTGTGGGATGACGCAGCGAAGTAGATAGCAGGATGAGACACTGCTGAGGAAAGAGGAGGCAGTCCCAGAGCGTCAAACTGCCCAAAAGATTGGCTGCGCGCCTGGCGTAGCGCCGTCCTAGACCTGGACGAATACAAGCTACCTTCCCCTTCCTGCCCACCAAGTGCGAGACAACTCTCTACCAACCTCTGCGAACCCATGGCCAGCTGTGGGTCAATGTGCCGTTGCCGGAGTGACATCATACTGGGAGCTGTAGGGGCACAAAACAATAACGTCACTCAGAGAACCAACTCAGAGCATGCAGACACTGAAATAACATTGGGTGACACGTGGCAAGCTGGAGAAGGTGAAACAGGAAACTTTGAGACTAGGTGCTAAGGAGGAAAAGTGTACAGACACAATAGGGAAGTTGTGGACAAGTTTGGACCCTAACCAACCTATTCATGCATTTCTTTATAGTGCAGTTTTTGTTTCTATCCATCAGGAATCGATTGGATGATGAAAAACAAAAGGGATTGGTGCTATATCAGGGGATTACTATACTTTGATGAAACATTACAAATTATATATTTATACTTATATTTCATACTTAACTTTTACCAATTAATTGTTTATGACAAGACCAGGAATGTGTGTTAAGGACGTAAAGTGTCTATTTTGATTTCATATCGACTCCAAGCTAATTAAGTTACATAAAATGTAAAAAAGGATCATGTAATCGACTCTCTGTCGAAGTCTGAAGTTTTCTTAGCGATATGTGAAAAATTAAAAACAAAACAGGCTAAGAGAGATCATGCATTTCACAGTAAACCATTTCACAGCTGTGGACAAGGACACGATTGAGAGGTGTAGACTGAGAGCGTTTCTTTCTGTCCAGTTTCCCTTTGCAGTAGCTAGGGTAATGGGCAGCGTATCACTTTAAAAGAGAGTGGTTCAGAAAAACAAGAGGAAGTGAGAGGAGTGGTTGCGGTGAAGGACATGGTAGTTTAGCCCACCAGAGTACTTCCAAAAAGACTGGCAATCTGAATTCAAAGACCAGAGATCACTTGCTCGGCGGCCCATTAGCCACGCTGCATCTGGAGGGGGTAAGGGGCAAGGGTAGGGGTGCAACTGTTAATAACTGTACTACTAAAACAGACCTCTACAATTAGATTTTTGGCAATGCTTTACTAAAATAAAACACTTCAAGGATTTGAGTTCTTATCTGAAAATACTTATGAATACTTCTTGTTAGAACAGCACTCAAGATATTTTGTGGAAAGAGTTCAGCAATACAATTTTCAAAATTAATCCATTTTGCCCAATGAACACCAATTTTATTTCACGTTTTTACCTGGGAAAACAACTCTTTTCTTAGAGCTTGTTTGATGATAACATTATTTCACACATTCAGATGGAGCATTACAATCCACAACAACTTCAGACTTGTACTGGACCACTTAACTCGCATATGGGCCTGTTTCTTCTGGCCTACTCTGTGACCCTCCATCGAATTTAACAAAAATTAACATGAAGATCTGTACAAAGAGTGCATAGTAGCCATTTCAAAAACACGTGACAGCAATGTGTAGTGAAGATCTTGAAGTACTCCCCTCTGTGTAAAACACCTGTAGATGGAGCACCTGTACACTCCAGCAGAAAGCACAAATAAGAAGTGTGCAAACACGCTCAGTGCATACAACCATTTCTGACAAAACTAGGGATTTTTGGATTTGGTCAAAACACCACAAGGTCTTTGCTGGCCTTTGGCTGACTGGGACTTATCCCTATCGCTGTCCGGCAAGTCCTTACATTGAAGTGTTCCTGGTGACACTATGTCCTCATCCATGTCATCCATGTCGTCGGACATGAAATGCTGGGGTGTGCCACGGCCGCCCATGAAGCTGGGGTCCAGGTTGAGGGCAGAGGCCAGAGAGGGCAGGCCTGGGTTATTGACCAGCGTGAAGCCTGTTAGGAACTCAATCTGCTGCCAACGATGGAGTCTCTCTCTCAGAGCTGCTGTTACCTCACCCAAAGCTTGCCTGTAGACAAAGAGATTATGGCAGTACGTGTTAAGGGTTATTTTTTTTCCATTTATTCATTTATTTTTTAAATTGCCACTAAGAAATGTTGAGAAATGTTTGTGTGACTTACTTGGCTGCAAGTATTTTGTGATCCACATCATCTAGCGAAGAACTATGTGCCACATGGAACGTCCCGAATAAAGTATTTCTCTTCTTCTTAATTTTTTCTGCCTAAACCATGTGACATTTTTTTTTAAAGAAAATGATTATTATATAATTTATATTATTATTATATTACTTTATTGTAAATCCATCTACTGATATCTCACAAATCTATTAAAGGTTTTCTTTACATTTTTTTTTTTAAATCCTAGTGAAACCTTACATTACATAAACGAATCTATTTTCTGATATTTAAATATATGCTTAATTGACATTATTAGCAGCAATCTATTATCCTCTTAAACATGTAACATTTCTAAAAACATTTTAAAGTCTGTTACCACATTCTAGGGCTGTACTATAACAACAAAGCTGAACTGTCATCAATAATCTAAATGTTTTTACCACCGTTTCATCTTAGCTAATAAAATGACTGCGAAAAATGCTGCTCACCCCCTCTTTGGCCACCTGCAGTTGTCTCTCTGCGTTCTGTTTCTTGATGTTGTAGTACTGCACCTCCACCTCATGAGTGAGCTGCAGCCATTTCTGCAGGGCTTCAGGAGGAGACCAGTTGCTGCGAGACTCCAGTTCCTTCTCTGCCTTTTTCAGGGCCATACGCACCTGCAGGAGGCGCCAGAAACAAATCAGATCAGAGTGCAAAGCAAAGCAGATCATCAAACAAATCTCACACAAGGCTGCTTTCAGATGGGAGTACTTTCACACCTGTAGATCGACTGCTTTTTTTTCCGGAACAGGGATTTAAATTATTACAATGTTGCTTTTTATTCTTGGTGCGGTTCGCAAAGTTTCTAAACCGACCAAAATTGTTAATACAAGTCACGTGCGAGTAAACTGTCCTCATTGGTCAAAGTCCAACGGCTTATTTTCTGGAATTCCGCTCAT